ATAATTGGAAAAAATTTTTCATAAAATAAATGTTACATTTTTCATAAATTTTTTATATAAATTATATATTACATATTTTTATCAGTTGTTTTTATCATATGTTGAAATGAGACCACAAGAATATATAATAAAATTATATGTTTTTATCACATATTTTTTACACATGACAAAAGTATATTTTTCCTGCACAAAGTTAATGAAAAACTGTTTACCATAGTAACGTACTTTCATTTTCACCAGGAAAATAATTCAATAAATGATCCATTGACCTTTTACTTTTGTTATCTTCTTTATCCGGATCGTTGCTTGTTCTCCTTTTTTTGACATCGTTTGATGTACTCGAGCTTGACAACGGGACTGTAAATATAGGAATTTTAAGAACAAAAAAGAGTTGGAGATTATAATAGCAACAATTACTTTCTAAACTTTAACTATTTTATCCTATAAAATTTAATACTTTTAATCATAATNTTTCAAATTGTTGGAATTGCTTCTCAAAGCTTTAAATGTAAATTACTTCATGTTACAATCAGGGTTAAAACATAATTTATTTATTCATTTTTTATAATTCACGATTGAATACTTAAGTTTGAATTTTTTNGTTAACACTATGGAAAATTGAACTTAATTTCTAATTTTTCCACGAAAAATGTGAAAATTATCTTTTAATTTTTATTATTTCAAGAAATAATAAATTTCTAATGTTTTATAGAAATAAAAATTTAAGTTTTAATTTGTTTATGTAACAATTAAAAATCTAATTTTTAACTTTAATTATTTATGAGTGAACTTAAACGTTTAATTAATGAATTGCAAATGGTAACAACTCATCTTGATTGTCAGCAGAAAAATGTGCGGATGAATCATTTACTTTCTTTTTGTTTGCTTTATTTCTATCGTCATCTCCCTTATTCGAATCAATGCTTATTATCCTTTTGTCATTTTGACGTATGCAGGTATCATTTGTTAACAGAATTATAAATATATAAATATTAATTAAAAAAAAAGTTTGGACTGCAGCGGCAGCAACCTCATAAAAAGAATAGGAATAATAAATAAAATATCAAAGACTTTGTGGTAAGTTAAAGGTTAATTTACATAATTATATATATATTGTATGTATGTATGTGAGTGTGTGTGTGTGTCTATGAATTTTTGATTTATTTAAAAATGTGTGTAACTTTTGTCCGCAATTCTTCCATTGGACTTAGCCTATTTGAAAATATTTAAAACGTTAACTTACGCTGTTTTTTTTCTGAAGGTGGTAGAGGAAAATCATTTTGGCAATGTAAGGACAATAATTTTGATTTTCTTAGAGACTCATCCACCTCAGCGTCGGCGTCGGTTGATTCAATTAATCCGTAGTCTTTTATAATTTTTTTATGCCTTCTTTGACGAAAATGTTTATTTTCTCTTTTTGAATATTCTTCTTCAACTTCGGAATCATTTTTGGCACTTTCCAACTTCTTCAGTGCAGCATCGTACGTGTCTGTAATAACAAAATAAACACAAATCATTTACTTATATTTCATCCCTCGTAGAGCGCATATCTACGAAATACGGGCGTTTGTAATGCCGGTACCCGTGTTGCGATAATATTGTAATATAATCGTGCCGATTGGTATACGCGAGTGAAGACACTTCTAGCCGGCGGCCGAGTAGCGAGAAACTATGGCTGCTTTCCTTTTAGGAGACACAGTCGACACAAGTCGACACAAGAGTCATTCTGTCTTTGTTTCTCACTGAATACTGAACAAAGACAGAATGACTTTTGTGTCGACTGTGTCTCCTCAAAAGAAAAGCAGCCAAAGTCTGTTTTTGTTTAGTATTCAGTGAGAAACAAAGACAGAATGACTCTTGTGTCGACTTGTTTCGACTGTGTCTCTTAAAAGGAAAGCAGCCTGTGACTCTTCTCCCGAGAAGAGTCAAAGAATCGCGATTGATGTCGATCACAATTATGGCTGCTTTCCTTTTAGGAGACACAGTCGACACAAGTCGACACGAGTCATTCTGTCTTTGTTTCTCACTGGTTGCTTTCCAGTAAGAAGACACAAACAAACACAGTATCAGGCACAGAAGAGCAGTGTGAAGCTGCTTGTTGGAACATTATTTAATTCGTAGTGAAGTCGATAGATCGCGCTTTATATTGTATATAAATTAACTGATTTGTATTTCTAATCAACTTATTAGTTTCTGTTTAACATGCGACTTAAATAAATCTACTTATAAAGATTTAGAAAATAAAAAAAAATATATACACATATATAAGAGAAAAAAACAAAAATACAGAAAAGTAAGTATAATTTATAAACATTTTGTTTTATTTGATGTTAAATGAAATATTAATTAGATAAAAATTAATTAAATAAAAATGTGATAAAGTGTATCAATGTCTAGAAATTAATTTAAATTGTTTAGATGAATAACGATAACAAGTTTATTTTCTATTTAATGGAAAAATCAAACGTAACGATTAGCAGTTCTTCAAGTAGTAATGGTGAAAAGTTAAGCGAATTAAGTAGTAGTACAGAAGATATAAGTATTTCAAGCAGTGAGGATGAAGATTTATTACTATTTCCTCTGATAAAAGTGTTAACAAGTGGTCGAAAAAAACATCGGATTGAAGATTATCTTCAAATTATTAATCTTTGGTCTGATCGAGAATTTAAAGAGCATTTGAGAATAAACTGACATACTGCATTAATATTAATTGGTATAATGATAACTATTTATGGGTTTTAATTACAGAAAACAAATTAAAAATGCAAAACTATATGAATTAAATTATTAACTTCATTTTCAGATGAACTAGAAAATTCTGGTTTCATTCCATCACATTCTTTTGGAATACAACCAATCTCTGCAAAAGTGAGTTTTCTATTATTTTTATGGTATATAGCAAACACCGAATCATTACGAACTCTATCAGATAGATTTATTTTTGTTTCATTTTTTATTTTTGTTTCAATATCATCTGTATTTCGTTTTACGACGAGTTATAAATTGGCTTTTGACTAAATTAGATATGATTATCAAGTGGCCACAAGGACAAGACATTCAAATTATATGTAATCAATTTTCTACTAAACAAGGGATTCAAAACGTTTTGGGAGCAATTGATGGTACTCACATCAGAATAGAAAAACCTTCAAATGCTCGTGATTATATTAATAGGAAAAAGTATTTTTTAATCTGCTTACAAGCTGTTGTAGATGCAAATATGCGATTCACAAATATTTATTGTGGCGAATCAGGCTCTTTGCATGACTCACGTGTTTTGAGAAAATCACCATTATATCAGACAGCATCTAATAATCAAGCTATGTTATTTTCTAATGAAACATTTTTAATAGGTGATGCAGCATATCCTTCCTTGCCATGGCTTGTTCCACCATATAAAGATAACGGTCATTTAAGTCCTCAACAATTAGAATTTAATTATATAGTTTCATCAACAAGAATTTTAATCGAAAAAGCATTTGGTCTGTTAAAAGGACGTTTTAGACGTATTAAATTTTTTAACGAATACCGTAATCTGCCATTTATTACTAATACAGTAGTAGCTGCGTGTATATTACATAATTATTGTAGTGATAAAGATGATATGTACGACTTTCCTGAATATCAAGACGAAAATATTGATCCTAATTTATGTAATAATATAATCAAAAAACGTATTGTTAGAGATCGAAGAAGTCGACTCTTTCATGAAATATTTCCTCATCATTAATATTATATGTATATATAATATTATATAGTTTGTGTTGTTTTTCTTAAAAACTCTGTCTATTAAAAAAAATGTTTTTGATATTATAGGTAACTAAAAAACTAAATACACTAACTAAATGTATAATAATAATTGAAACTTGTACTTGTATCAAAAATCATATGTTAATATTTAATTTCTACAATTATTGAACAATAATTATTGAACTATTCTAATATTTATTTGCACTCTTATAATAAATATATTGTTTCTAATTATTTTAAATTAACATTGAATAATATCATTAAGTGATTAAGGACATATGTTGTACAAAACTGTATCATTTAATAATAAATGTTTATTACAATTCATATAAGTTTATTAAAAAACCTTTTTTTTACAAAACAATATGATAGCATTTGATATAAATAAATGTTATATAAATAAATATTTATATAAATATTTGAATATAAATAAATGCTATATAAATAAATATTTATATAAATATTTATCTTTTTTAGTATAAAATACAGTATCATCAAACATAAACTTTTTATATTATTGATGTCTTAATATCTCTATTAGTTTTATCAGTAAACTTAAAATGTTAAATTTTATCTCAATTTGTAAATAATAATATTTAACTACAAGCCATATAAGTTGTAACTCTTATATTTTAATCAATAATATTTAAGGTAGAGACATTCTAGCATAACTCAACAAAACCTTTTTTTCTATCTTACATTAATGTTAATATCTCTTACATATTAAGTTTTGCGTATTGATATCTTTTGTAATTATGTATTAACTGTTTTAATAACATTGGAAAAAAACATTTTAAGCAAACTAAACCCTTATCTTAAAATTACAACTTTATCACTTTATACGAAGTATTTTTGCGAACACAATATGTTTAATGAACTAAACGAAGTTAAAGGAACAAAAAGATATTTTTATGAAATGTAGAATACATTTCTGTATACTAATCCGAATCCGAAGATATATTATGAGTATTTTGATTTTCTTTATTTTCTATTTTCTATTTTCATATCTTTTTGAAATTTGATATTTTTTTTTCAATTTCTTATATTTCATTATATACCATTTTTTTCTTTTAATTTTTTTCTGCAATTTCGCGACGTTGTTGAAGCTCTTGTTCTTTTAATGCAAATTGTTTTTTTTTTAACTTAATTTGTTCCTTCTTGTTCTCAATAAGAGTAGTGTATTTACCATCTTTTATACGATCACGTTCTTGGTTTGTTGTCAAATAATGAAGCCATTGTTTTTCGAGCTCAAGTTTTGTTTTTGCTATTGTAGATCCTGTTCCACGAGGCAAACATTTTTGTTTAGAATGAATATTAGTTACATATGAAGATACATCTATTTTAGGTGACTTGGGTGACGATTCATCAGAACTCTCTTTTTCTGCATATTGAGAACTTGATGATGAACATGAATGAAAAGAACGATTTTTTTTAAACTGAAATGTTGATGTTTGTTTTTTTCCCGATGTAGACGTTGATGTTTGGTTTTTTTCAGATTGAGAAGATACTTTATTTATTGTAGTGCATACTTTAGACGCAACTGTATAGTTTTCATTAGTGGCATCTTTTTTTTCCAATATTTTTCCATATTTTTTTTGAAAAATATCATCCATCTGTTGACACCATTCAAATTTAATTTTTCCTCCTCCAGATTTTGAAAAATTATCAATTACTTCTCTGTATTTTTTTAGTAAAGCATTCATCTTCCACCTTACTTGATCACTTGTCATCTACAATAAAAATGAATTAAACTTATAAAAGAAACGAAATTTAAAATTTATAATAAATAAAATATCAAAATAGAATATAAGTTCTTATTTAAAACTTAATATATATTAATGAATGAATTAAAAAATCAGGTTAGTCGAGCCGTTTTGCAGGATGTTATGCAGAGAATGTGCTTGAATATATACATATGCATACACATATTAACGAAATAATTTTTTTCCTCCATATAGGATGCTGGATTTGCATCACGTGTATATGAAGGACCCTGTATACCCCCCTAACTAATTTTAAAATATTGCGAAAAAAACTCCTCAGCCAGGAGTCGAACCTGGAATCTCCGGCTTTCCGGGCCGTCGCCTTCCCTGTTAGGCTATCGAGGCACTTGGAGTTTGTCTCGCAATACTTAGCACATCTATCGAATGTAAATCTGATAATAACGCCGTCTTCCACCAGCGTAAATCTCAAATTAATAATGACGAAGAATAAGATTTTTCTGAGGAGTTTTTTTCGCAATATTTTAAAATTAGTTAGGGGGGTATACGGGGTCCTTCATATACATGTGATGCAAATCCAGCATCCTATATGGAGGAAAAAAATTATTTCGTTAATATATGTGTATGCATATATATATGTGGTCGTCGTGTTTATGTGTGTACACCGCAAGAGGAGATGGATAGAGTAGTCGGGCCTGTTTCCAAGGAATACACCAGTGCTTAATTTTACTAGATATATTTACAAGATCTATTTACAATGATTACGCTATCAGGCGTATATACAAGTCTCTTTATAGTGTATCTTGAGGGGCCCTGAAAAGGGCCGATTGGTTTTGAGGAGAGCCGGGACTAGTCTGCGGCCCCGGGTCCTTCTTGCCACAACAAGTGCGGCTTGCACCGGGTGATGTGGACGCGCCCAGAGCCTTGCTGTGGTACTGAGCGTGCCCTTTTCCTTGCTGCGGCCTGTGGTCTTGCCTTCAAGGTCTCTTCCTTTGGTCCGAGGGTCTGAGTGGACTGCTCTTTAGTCTCTGGCTCCTCCCAGTCGGATTCCACCTGGTTGCCTTGCTCCCGGGTGAGGGCCGTGACCTGGATGGCCCGATGCCTCGTGAAAGGCTGCTCCGGATTGGTCCCTCGGGTGGTCCTATCGGCGGGCTGAGTCTGAGTGGCCCGTTCCGTTGTAGTCCGGAGCGGTGAGACCAACCTCGGCAGGTGGAGCCAGTCCTCTCGGGGCGACGTAAACCGCCAGATCCTGGGATCCTCGGGCTTCAGGAAGATCCTGGGCGGCCTAGTGAGATGGTGGTGAGTGATCTCCACAGGTACCAGCTTCCACGGCAGTAGTTGCCACTNCACCCTCTTCTCCTTGGTGGCTCCGACCTCTTCTTGCCGGTTTGTTTCCCCTGGTGATCGGGGAGGCGATGGCCGTCGTCCACGAGGGTGGCGCAGTATACCTCGCTGTATGGTAGAGTCGCTTTGTCGGAATCCTGAGTGCAGAAGTGCTGGCTGCGTTCCCAGAATGTGCCTTTGCTGACTCGAGCGAGGCGTATCGGTCGTTGCCCGGCGGGCCTCTTATAAAGGCCCCGGCGCACAACTCTCTCACGCGAGACTTGTCGCTGCCCTGCGCCGCGCGGCGGCAGAGCGCGGTACGAAAGCTTGCCGCGCAAGACCGTCTCCGAGAAACTCGCCGTGCCGTGTTTCTCTATCCTGTATATGCTGCTGCCTATATGTAGGCGCTGTGGTGACTAATTCCTTAGCCACAGGACCCCCCTCGTTGTATAGGGCCCCCTTCTTATGTCTGGAATTGTACCGTTTGTCTTAGTGGTCTTCCTGCTCGTGAGTGTGTTTTACCACTTGACTGCACTTCTTCTCCACTCTCTCTTTTGGGCATCTCTTCCTGTTGCAGTATGAATGCCGGTTTCAGCCTGTCTATTGAGACATTTATTGGTCTCCCATTTATTCGTACCTTATAGGTTTTCTCTCCTCTGTTGAGAACCTCATACGGTCCGTCGTATGGGGGTTGTAGCGTCCCCCCGGTTGGTGCATCGTGCCGTACGAAAACCTGTGGGGTTGTATCCATGTCCTTGAACATGAATGTTGCCGGTTGGCCATGTCTTTTTATTTTTGGCTGCAAGTTTTTTATTGCCTCGCGCAGACGTCCTATGTAATCGTCCGTGTTTCTTGCCTGTGTTTGGTCGTGTAGGAATTGCCCTGGTAGCCTTATTGGTTCGCCAAATACCATCTCTGCTACTGTGGACTGGATGTCTTCCTTCCAGGCCGCTCGTATTCCAATCATTATGACCGGCAATGTTTCTGTCCATCTTATTGATTGGTGGCACTTTATTGCCTCTTTCATTTGTCTGTGCAGTCGTTCCACCATTCCATTCGCCGCTGGATGGTACGCTGTTGTTCTCCAGTGTGTTGTACCAGTTAGCTGTGTCAGACGCCGGAACAAGTCGGACTCGAATTGTCTTCCTTGATCCGTTGTTATTCTTAGCGGTGTTCCGAAGCGTGTTATCCATTGGTTGAATATTTGCTGTGCCACCGTTTCTGCCGTGATGTTACTGATGGGAATTGCCTCCGGCCATCTGGATAGTCGATCTATTATCGTTAAGCAATATCGGTATCCCTCTGAGATCGGCAGTGGTCCTACAATGTCTGTGTGTATGTGTTCGAATCGTCTGGTGGGTCCTACGAAGTTTCCTACCGCGGACTTGTTGTGTCTAGTAATTTTGGATTTTTGACATTGTATGCATGTGCGAGCCCATGCTCTACAATCTCTCTGTATTCCTGGCCATACGTATCTCTGTGCTACTAATCTTGCCGACGCTTTTGTTCCTGGGTGTGCTAGGCTATGTAGTGCCAGGAAGATTTTCCGCCTTAGTGTTTTCGGGACATATGGCCTTGTCACAGGTGTGCTCCGGTCGCAGTATAAACTGCTCGCGGTTCCTGGTATTTGTATTTTGCTCCATTGTAATCCTTTTTCTTCTAAGATTACTTTTAATTCTTCGTCGGTCTCTTGTTCTTGTGCCATTTCTTCCAAGCTTATTGCTTTTTCGATTGCATTTACCCGTGATAGGGCGTCTGTTACTATGTTTTCTTTCCCGGATACATGCCGTATGTCTGTTGAGAATTGCGCGATATATTCCAGATGCCTGGCCTGCCGGGGGGAGCTTTTTAGCGGGTCTTGATTTAGTGCATATATTAGAGGCTTGTGATCCGTAAATATTGTGAACAGGCGTCCTTCTAACATGTGCCGGTACTGTTTTATTGCCAGGTATACCGCCAATAATTCCCTGTCGTAACGGCTGTACTGTTTCTGTGCGTCCGTTAGTTTCTTACTGAAGAATGCTAACGGTTGCCATTCCTGTCCTATCCTCTGCTGTATCACCGCTCCGACCGCACTCTCTGATGCATCCGTTGTTATCGCCAGTTCGGCCCCCGTTTTTGGGTGTGCTAGTTGTGCTGCTTGTGCCAAACTTCTTTTACATTTTTCAAATGCTTGCTCTGCTTCTTTTGTCCATTCTACCGGGGTTTTCCTTCTATTTTTGGGTCCTTTTAATAGGTCGTTCAGTTCTGTTTGCTCTTTGGCGGCCCCGGGGATAAATCGCCTATAGAAATTCAACATTCCTAGGAATTGTCGCAACTGTTTTACTGTCTTCGGTTTTGGGAATTTCCTGATAGCTTCTATTTTACCAGATAGTGGTTTCGTGCCTTCTCCTGTTACCAGGTAGCCCAGAAATCTGACTTCTTGCTCTCCAAAGGTACACTTGGCTGGGTTGATTCGTACTCCATAATCGTCTAATCTTTTGAAGATTTCGCGTATATGTTCTTCGTGTTCTTCCTTTGTGGTCGATGCTACTAATATGTCGTCTATATATGCGTAGCAATACTGTAGGTCTCGTAGTACTTCGTTTATGAATCTTTGAAACGTTTGGGCGGCGTTTCGTAGCCCGAACGGCATGTAGTTGAATTCATATAGTCCGAATGGTGTTGTTATTGCCGTCTTCTGTACGTCCTCTGGGTGTACTGGTATCTGATTATATGCCCGTACCAGGTCTATTGTCGAGAATATCTTCTTTCCATATAAGGTTTGTGCGAAGTCTTCTATGTGGGATATTGGGTATCTGTCCGGCACGGTCCTTGCGTTCATTCTTCTGTAATCCCCGCATGGTCTCCACGTGTTGTCGTTTTTTGGTACCATGTGTAGTGGGGCTGACCACGGGCTTCTTGAGGGCCTTATTATCCCTTCCTGCAGCAGAAGGGTGAATTCCATTTTTGCTGCTTTGAGTTTGTCCGTTGTCAATCTTCTTGGTCTGCATGTCTCGGGCTGCCCTGCTGTCACCGTGATGTAATGCTCTGTAGTATGTTTTATTCCTTTCTTCATGTTTCCTACTCTTGTAAGTTCCGGGAATTCCGCCAATATCCTGTGATATGGAGTACTGCCTTCCAGTGTTTTTACCGAAGATGCTTTTGTGTACGTAGGCCTTCCTATCGTACTTAGCCCTGTTTCTCCGTCTATGAGTTTCCCTCTTCTCACATCCGGGACTAAATGGAAATGGCCTAGGAAATCTGACCCTATGATCGGCTCTGTAATATTTGCTATTATGAATCGCCATGTAAATGCCCTTCGCAAGCCGAAATCTGGTTGTAGAATAGTTGTTCCATATGTATGGATCCTTGTCTTATTAGCTGCGTATAATTCAAATGGTTGGACTGTTCGTCTAATACCTTTTGTCATCTTTGCCGGGAATATACTAACGTCTGATCCGGTATCTATCAAGAATTTCGTTCCTGTTTTTCTATCTATTATGTAGAGGCGGCGTGGTCTTGGGCTGTCGTCATCTACCGCCATTAATGACTGCCCTCTTGGTTTTTTTCTTTGTAAGCGCAGGGCTGCGCGCATCTGCGAGCCTCTGCTCCGAACCTGCGATGGTAATAGCAGATGTCTTCTTCCTCCTTGATTGCTCCTCGTCTTGGCTTGCTTCTCGACCGGCTCCTTGGTCGAGACCTGCTTTGCTTCATCCATTTTGCCATCTGCTTGGTTAACTCGGCTACCTGTTTTGTTAATGCCTCGATTTGCTCTGATGGGGTTGATGTTGAAGCTTGTGCTGCTGCTACTTGCGGAGTTGTTGCTACGACCAGTGCTCTGCTATTTATTTCGTGAATGCGGTCCGCCTGTTCGGCCACGCTGTCTATGTCATCTTCTGCCCTTGTCGCTAGAATTGCTTGGACTTGCGGTGGTAAGCGGCCCAGCCATAATGTTCGCAATAACTTGTCTGATACCGTTGTCCCTGCCAAGGTTTTTAAATGACGTAGGAACTGTGACGGTCTTCTATCTCCCAGCTCTTCTTGTTCCAGAAGTTGCCGGATGCGATTCTCCTGTGAGTCTGTCAAACGCTGAATTAATGCTTTCTTCACCGTCGGATATTTGCTTCCAGTCGGCGGTTGTGTAATTACATCTTTCACCTCTCTGGCTTGTTTCGGCTCCAATTTCGATAATACATATGCGTATTTTGCTTCATCCTCCTTTACTCCACAAAGGGCGAACTGGCTTTCTACCTGTGCGAACCATATTTCTGGATCTTCTGGCCAAAACGCCGGAATCCGCATTGTTGCTCTACTGCTTATCCCCTCCTCGTCGCTCACCAAAATGGTGGTTTCCTGTTTCTTTGACATGTTCTTCCGTCGGGGTCACCAATTGTGGTCGTCGTGTTTATGTGTGTACACCGCAAGAGGAGATGGATAGAGTAGTCGGGCCTGTTTCCAAGGAATACACCAGTGCTTAATTTTACTAGATATATTTACAAGATCTATTTACAATGATTACGCTATCAGGCGTATATACAAGTCTCTTTATAGTGTATCTTGAGGGGCCCCGAAAAGGGCCGATTGGTTTTGAGGAGCGCCGGGACTAGTCTGCGGCCCCGGGTCCTTCTNGCCACAACANGTGCGGCTTGCACCGGGTGATGTGGACGCGCCCAGAGCNTTGCTGTGGTACTGAGCGTGCCCTTTTCCTTGCTGCGGCCTGTGGTCTTGCCTTCAAGGTCTCTTCCTTTGGTCCGAGGGTCTGAGTGGACTGCTCTTTAGTCTCTGGCTCCTCCCAGTCGGATTCCACCTGGTTGCCTTGCTCCCGGGTGAGGGCCGTGACCTGGATGGCCCGATGCCTCGTGAAAGGCTGCTCCGGATTGGTCCCTCGGGTGGTCCTATCGGCGGGCTGAGTCTGAGTGGCCCGTTCCGTTGTAGCCCGGAGCGGTGAGACCAACCTCGGCAGGTGGAGCCAGTCCTCTCGGGGCGACGTAAACCGCCAGATCCTNNGATCCTCGGNCTTCAGGAAGATCCTGGGCGGCCTAGTGAGATGGTGGTGAGTGATCTCCACAGGCACCAGCTTCCACGGCAGTAGTTGCCACTGCACCCTCTTCTCCTTGGTGGCTCCGACCTCTTCTTGCCGGTTTGTTTCCCCTGGTGATCGGGGAGGCGATGGCCGTCGTCCACGAGGGTGGCGCAGTATACCTCGCTGTATGGTAGAGTCGCTTTGTCGGAATCCTGAGTGCAGAAGTGCTGGCTGCGTTCCCAGAATGTGCCTTTACTGACTCGAGCGAGGCGTATCGGTCGTTGCCCGGCGGGCCTCTTATAAAGGCCCCGGCGCACAACTCTCTCACGCGAGACTTGTCGCTGCCCTGCGCCGCGCGGCGGCAGAGCGCGGTACGAAAGCTTGCCGCGCGAGACCGTCTCCGAGAAACTCGCCGTGCCGTGTTTCTCTATCCTGTATATGCTGCTGCCTATATGTAGGCGCTGTGGTGACTAATTCCTTAGCCACNAGACCGTCTCCGAGAAACTCGCCGTGCCGTGTTTCTCTATCCTGTATATGCTGCTGCCTATATGTAGGCGCTGTGGTGACTAATTCCTTAGCCACCACAATATATATTCAAGCACATTCTCTGCATAACATCCTGCAAAACGGCTCGACTAACCCGATTTTAATTCATTCATTAGTTTAAGACTTCTGAGCCCCGAAGAATATTATTCTTCGTTATTATTAATTTAATATATATTATTTATTATGTATACATACATTTGACAAAGTTTGAATATTTTTGAAAAATAACTTAAAAAATAAAAATTCTTAAAAATGTGATGAAAACGATGATTAGCTCCGGATAATTTATAAAGGTGTGGTAAAGGCAGTCAGAGCATAACAACGGTGTTGATGTGTAGATGTACAAGAAAGTGATTTATTAAATCATGAGTAAAAATAAACGTTTCGACCTTCTTTTTAGGTCCTTATCAATATATTAATTACGCTGATGTTATTATCTTCTCGCAAAGATGTACATTTAACAATACAATGTTGACACATAAAATTTAAAAATTCTTAAACATCTATGTAAGAACTTTGTGTTTTAAGAGGGTACTGAATACCGACTATAGCAACCTGTAAACCGACGTTTCTTAAATCAGATTCTGAGGCGTATTTACTGCATCAAATCCAAAACACTTCTCCAGAAATAAGTAAATTGTGCTAAGAATTGGCGGGTGTGGTTTGGAATGTCAAAATTCAGCACAAATTTTTTCTTAGACAGTTTTCTTCTATAACCTCACTATATATTCATGTATGTAGAATTATTTCTAAGCTTATGTAAGTATTTGCAGAGAGTTACAGCCAAACATACGACAAAAACAAATCGAATGAGCTATTCAAATTATGATTTGACTATCTCATTGATGAGAGAAATCTGAACTCGTGATGATGTTTATTTGATATCATATACTATCATTCTGTCTGAAACAAAAGGCACTATGTACCCAGTAAACAATTTGTTCGCAATTTGCCAGCAAATTGTCATCAATTTTAAGCAAAAATATTCAACAAATTGGCATCAACTGTGTCCGCATTAGGCTTCGATTTTGTTGCCAAAGCTTGTCGACAAAAAGTAACAGCAAATTGCTACCAAAAACCGAGCAAAGCTTGATAACATAACTTGAGACCAAATTGACGCCAAATATAAAGCACAATCTGCGCAACACGATTTGATAGCAAAATGACATTTATAATATAAAAAAATGACTTAGATTCTTTATTTATATTATTGAGTAAGTTTTCTTGGTTATTCTCTATG